TATAAAACGTATGACAAATAAGGGCGGTTAACTTTGATTGACAGCTGATAACGGGCTGTGCCGAGTGAATTTGACGTCTCGGCCATGATCTGACACAACACATCATACCACCTCTGTATCCTTTCTGAAACTTTTGTATTTTGTATTTTCCAAGATTTTCCAGTATGGCGCCGCCCATACCCCCCATAAACAGCTTCAAACCCGTTCTTCAGAGAGTCTATGGGTGACGTCACAGACGTTTTGTCCATATTTTTTACAGTCTATGGGTTGAAAGCACTGAATAATTCTGATGTGACAAGCGCTGAGCGCATTCGTCTCTGGCTCAGAGTCAGCCAAAGCTCGAAAGCACATTTGAATTTATCAGTTGAACACCACGGTGTGATTGTACGCGTTAAGAGGGTTCAATTTGATTGTGTTTTGGGGAAAATGGGGTGAAATGCCCCCTTTTGCTCCCTCGTTGTGGCAGGCCTACCTGAATCAACATACTGATCAACACATCAGAATTACAACGTTTTTTTCTTCATTTCTAAGCAGGTTTATTCAATATTAGTCAGGTATATTGTATACCGAGATCCCCCCTTGAACAAAGAGAAAGATAGACAGCACATTATTTAATTTAATTACATTTATAGTAAGTTTAACCCAATATTCACTCAACGACCTAAAATAATTTCGCTTTAAAAAATTTATTTGTAGTGTCTTGATAAAATTGAGTAGTCCTTTTTCGCCAATCAGTTAGTGATTGCTTCTTTAAAACGTAGATTTAAAAGTGCTTGCAAAACTTTTTTAACAAAGTACGTTCAAACTTTTTTTGAACGTATTGATGATAAATACAGGATCTTTCATTCATCAGGGTTACTGAGCTTTCAGACTCATGGAGATCGCTGTAGAGTGGAGGAAGTCCAAAGATCTGTGTCTTCTTCTTCTATATCCATGGTCGCATAACTGAAGATAGCAGACAAGAATATAAATTTAACCTCAAATACATGCTTTCTACAATGCAAAGGCTGTTGAAGTTGAATGTGTTTTCTTTTAGAAAGACCAGTTGTAAAAGGTTTACAATTTGCTTGAAGGCTACTATCAGTAATGCTGTTGAAATTTACTGTTACCAGACCAAACTTACCAGAGCACATCTGCCATTCTGTACAAGGCAAAGATGAACCTGACAGTGCAGGAAGAAGTGGTCAGAAATTCCTGAGAACGTGAACATCCTGAAGGAGAAACGGCTTGTTGTATCAATACCGTTCTGAAGGACTTCCACTGTGGTATCTTCAGGGTTGGCGCATCTAGGAAGGGAGGAGGGTTTTTCAAGGGAAGGTAATAAAGGGAAAATTAGAGCATGGTAACACTTGAATGCCTGGTTTGTGATGTATTTGGTATGAACTAGGCACCAAGTATGTTTTGGTCAGACTTTAGAATAATGGTCCATCATTAATACGTAACTGTGCAAGAAGGACACATTTTCTTAACTTATATGGAAATAGTGTTGTTTTTGTTTTATATAATTGCTCATTTCAGACACGTTAATTTTGTGAATAGTAATTAATTGGTATTTCTTTCAAATTGGTCATAGTTTGTTAATAGTTCTTTATTAAGTAATCAACAGTCACAGATTGAGATTAGCCTTCTTTGACTATTTCAGCCCTAAATTCACTATGATTAGTTCATCTGGTTTCCATATTAGTTAATAGAACTATCTAAAGTGTTAATGTAGTCCTCATTTTTGCTGCATTACTTCTCTACAATTTTGTTGAGATGGAAACAAATTTGATCATATAACCATTTAAACATCAAGTCACTCACTCGTTGATAATCAGATTCCAGCTAACATGATATTCAGCATCATTAACAGGTGTGGCCCAGCACTTGTCCAGAACTGTTGCGATTTGGTTTCTATCCACTCCTTCCACCTCGACAGCCACATATATCCGCTGGTTCACCTGGATTTGCACCTCTCCGTCATATGGGCTAGTAAACTCTGCATCATGGTAGGGAATCATGCGGATCTGGTATGTGCCCTGGCCAGCAGGAAGTTCCTCACTTATCACACTGTAGGCAAACACATAAAAATAACAGCAGCCATAGCCTAAGTCAATTGTAATGGTGACAGCTCATGCCTTATGACACTCTGCAAACCTGCTTTATAACCAATGTAACCTTTATCAACTCTTTTAACCCATTGTGGATCAGGTGGAAATTCTCTGAAAAGTCCTATATTACATTCATTTTATTCATTTGAGTATATAATAAGCAGTCCCTGTCATGTCATGTAAAAGTTATTGTTGGAAACGGCGCCCTCTTGTGGCCAAGAAAGTTACATATTGGACCTTTAAGATAAATGCATTAGAAGTATTTATCATTGTTAGTTTGTGTTAAGCAATGTAGTTAACTAATGTTAACCAATGGAACCTTGATATAAAGTGTTAATATTATTGATTGTCTGAATACTACCAAAGTCGCTCTAAAGGCCATTGCACACTGAGCACGAAATATTCGTATGCGTATTTTCGTGTTCGTCAGCTTAAAAATTCGTCACGCATAGAAACCTTGCACACCGAGTCCGTTGCGTATTTCTTAAACCTTTGCGGGGAAAAAACGCAAAAATACCAAATGGATTCGTCAAGCAGTGAGGATGATTTTTGCCCTCTCTCTTATTGAAAAGGGAAGAAAGAGAAAATATTACGTCCATCCAATCCTGAAATTGCGCCGAGAGGAAGGAGAGTTATCAAGGAGTTGCGAATTTATCCTGAGCGATTCAAAATTTACCTCAGAATGTCAGTGGGACAGTTTAATGCTTTGCTAGCGATTCTGGAGCCACATATTAAAAACAAGACCACCAATTTTCGTGAACCAATCGATTCTGAACGGAGACTGGCAGTGTGTCTGAAATGGACCAGGTATGGACACACACACACCCGCGCGCGGCCCGGTGGAAGCGCTGGGCAGACAGAACAGCTAGGCTGTTATTGTGTATATCGTGCCCAAATAATACATTAGTTATCGAATAGGCTGCTCAATCACACCTTATTCGATCCTAAATTTCAATCTGATTGAAAGGGGAGGTTTATTAATTTCATAATCCAATATAGAGAAGAGAACATAAACACTTGATCGAATTGAAAACCGAAACTGAAAGCACGGCGCATATGTGCAATGATTTGAGGACGAGCTCCCCCCGGCCCTGAATTGTCAAAAGACCTCTCAAAATGCTGGCTCTGGATGCGAAAAACGCAGAAAATCAAACCCGATCCGATTAATTTTATGACGGACGAAAGTTTCGGAGGCGGTGTGCAAGCGTGACTGACATAACGTGAGGTCGAATTTTTTTTTTTAACGTGCGAAAATTTCGGATGCGAATTTCGGACTCGGTGTGCAATGGCCTTAAGACCAGTCATTTAATTTGGCGGCCATCTTTGAAACACCTCCCGGGCACGCAAGTGCAGCTCCTATCTTTTTGAATGTGGAAACATCAAATTCTCCAAAAGAGTTTGCCAAGCTTACAAATAAATTTCATATTTGAGATCACCAATGAAATCTGACTAGTGTAACATAAATTTTGTTCCTAAACATGACAGAAATCAACATTTTTTAGCCTGAATCAAGCTAATGATCTATAGTCTGATCCTACACACTGTTCTTCAGAAGATATTGAGAACCCTTACCCGCCTTCGGCTCGGAAAGCCACGGGCATAGATATGGTCTGGATCAGAGGGTACACACAATAAAATGTCATGTTCATCCATATCTGTCTTGAAATGATGCGGTGGTCAGTGTCCGTCGGGTTAGACTGAATGGAGTTTTGGTAGATGAAGTGAGTCCTGTTGCTCTGAGGAGGAGAATAAATGTAAACTTCAAGCAATGGCACAATTTACTAATTATTACACACATAAGACTGTATGTTCAGTATGGATATGTATCTTATAAGTAGCTCTAGTGATGAAACAGAAATTGAAAGATCATTACCATCAGAGTGGTACCACATACGTGGCCTTTATTGTCGAAATAAAACACAAGTCTGCCATCCTCGAGGGTTCCTGTGCAGTTTGGGTCATTTAGGTGCAGGTGCTCAGGATAAAAACCAGATTCGAAGAGCTGGCAGCGGGATAGAGATATGGAGCCGGTGCTGCTGGCACAAGACTCCACAGCATCTGAGCAGATAAAGGATTGCAAAGATTATATACATGCAGTCTTTAGCTTCCTTGTTAGAGCGCCCGACTCGCATGCCGGAGACCCGGGTTTGAGGCCCGCTCGGAGCGGGTCGAGGGGTTACATGTGCTCTTCGGGCGCCGGGTCCGTGGCCAATGCCTCTTCTCTATCTCTTCTCTAGATTGGTGACCCATGTTTTGCGATTAAATATCTATTAACTCTTGAAAAGGAAATTTTCTGCAATCCATGTTTTATAAAATTACATAATTACATTACAAATATTCTGAAAGAGTACTGGTTCAAACCACACGCGAAGAAGGAGAAACAAATAAACAAAATCACTCCCTAACGTTACTGAATGAAATGTCAACCCAGGAAAAGATACAGGACTTAGCAAGCTTTGGGGGTGTTGATGGTCTTGATTACGCCATCCACTATGATGTTAGTTATAAGAATACTGATACCAATACAGATCTTTCTCCAAAACAGAGATTTTTCTTAATTCACATTTAATATGACAACTGCAAAACTATCAAACTACTGTTTGTGTTTATTATTTGTTTATATCACACCTGTGTGGATTAATATTTGAATAAAAGTTCAAGCTACTGGTAGCATAAACAACGTAGTCCCACAGAAGGACATGTGTTGGTTTCCTAAAAGTGGGTCTTGTAAGTGCAGTTGAGCACATGCAGAAATGAACACATGAGGACCCAAATTAACCAATTCCACAGAATGAAAAAGAGCAGATTGTTGTGTAGACTGTTAAAATGTGACTTGAGTGAATGAAATATGTTTTTTTTTCTCATATGAATGTATAAATACACAACAAGTGTGGGAACACTTACCAAAGTTTTCAGGATTTGGTCTTTGTCCTTGCAAGCAACAACAGCCATAGACACCACCTCTCTTCTGGCAAGTCTCATTTTCAGTGCAAGTATTACAAACTAAAACAGACAAGAAGAAGATTATTGCACAAAAAAGACATGGAAGCATGCAGTGATTTGGATCTGGACCTATCCATATGTATTAAAGTATATCAGTACATCAGAATGGCTAAAGGCTAGAGCCATTGTAATTCCATCTAAATAGACAACAGACCTGCGAAAATAAATACAAGAAAATAAACATTACCGTAATAACTGTAGAATCTTTAGGGTCTGGACCCATCAGACACACACTGATTATTCATTATATACAAAGGTTAATGAAACTCCAAAACTATGAACACCAGGGCTGAAACAGTGTCATGTTACAGGGCTGAGCCGCTGATAAGGAGGTTTAACGACCACATTCCAAAGGAATTACAACCAACTAATGATCAATGTCACCTCACCTGTATCATGCCTCCTACCTAATTAATCCTCATTTAATGACACACACTTTGATGTACATCACTTTCTTCTAGAATGCAGTGTGGATGTGGTATATCTATCTGAGCATTGATGAAGGTATAACCGCACTTGGGACAAAGACTCGTAAATCAACTAAAGCAACCTTCCCACTCGGACATTTCACCATGCTTATTGGTCCAGTCAACCCTTAGGGTTTGGATCTTTCCCAGGCTTTATAAGAGACAGTCCACATGTGACATCCCACTCTTGTTTTTTTTTTAATCCAGCCGCAAACACTGTTTCTGGTGATACTGGGGAAACCCCTCCCCCTCCACGGGGGTCCTGAGGGCCCATCATGCCTTGATCCAACCAGATATGGGCTCATGCAGGAGATAGAAGACTCTCTCACAAAGAACCAAGGACAATCTCAGGAGTTTGGAACCAGGACTCCGACCAACAACGACTCCAATCACCCACTCTTCTAACTTCCTCACTTCTCCTGGGTGCTCGGCGTGGCCTCAACAGGCCCCAGGGCACCAGGCCTTGACCGATCTAGCCATGTGGTCAGGGAGAAAGATAACTTTCAAACAACTTCCATGTGCCACTGCCGGAACCCACAACGACTTCAATTTTCCACAATTTCAAGAATTGTTCCGACTACAAATACAAGTATTCAATTCAATGAAATGTGAAAATTAAATGTTGTTGGTTCTTCCCAAGGTTAGATGGATCTTCTCCATCGTTAAATTATTCCATCTCTCACTCCTTTTTCCTACACATGTATTTATGTATGTTTGTTTAGTTTATTCATGTTTATGCACTTCATGTACCTTGTGCACTTTATGTATTTTTTTCTGATTCACTGATTGCAAACAAAGTCTCTTTTACGATCTTGATCTTGCTACAGGCTCAAAGCGCTGTACATGCTAAGAAATAATTATACTTCTGTGGCCATGGAAGAGACCCTTTTCTTAGAATAAATCAATAATCAAAAGAGTTAGTTGGACGAACTGATTAATTGATTGTAATATTAATTTAGCCATGTCAAGTTAAAGCAGCACTTTGCAGGATTTCCGTTTTTGTCAAACTGTAACCCCTAGAGTCGCTGTTGAGTACTTATACTGTTGTAAATAGCACTCACGCAGAGATGTCTCTGCACTCACGGCCTGATCCCCTTCCCCTGTATACCGGTACCTGTTCAGTAGGATGAAGCTGTAACAAGTGGAAATAAGGTGTGGCCCCTTTAAGAGCTGTTGAACTGTCGGCAGTCTGTATGGTATGCGCCCCGAACACCACGTGTAATTCGTTACACCAAAAGCAATTCGTTACATCGCGAGACCTGATATCACGCGACACTTCCTGATGCTGCGGCCGGCGGCCCGCTGGCGCAAAGTTGCAAGTGTGTATCGCTCACAGGCAACGGGGGGGGAGGTCGAGACACCCAACATTCAACCCGAAAATAGTCATATTAGTCATATTCAGTTGAGGTAAACAAACTGCATAGAGCTGCTTTAATTCAATTAACTGACCCAAATATTCATAATCAATCATATCCAGTTATTATTGATTATTTATAATTCCTATAACCAAGTTCCTTACACACCATCGACATGAAAAACCCGGTGGGAAACATCAGGCATGCCTAGACATTTTAGGATCTTATATAATTTACTTTCGCCTACGCAATTGGTCAGAACAGAAACTGCACCTGTCTGTCTTAGCCTTCACTACACTACCCAGTATCTTTCTTGTCTCCTCACCTGAACTCACTCCCTCATTACCCACCTGTTCATCGTCATTATAATTTGTGTCACCTGTCCTCACCTCATTAGTTCTGGAGAGGACTGGATGATCCCTTAGCCCAGATACTGCTGCTTGAAGACGATTTCCGTTTTCTGAGTTTTTGGACAGAGCTCTTTGGGTTTGCGGTTCATTCCTCAAAGTAACACCAGCTGAGCCTGAGCCCATTGTCTGTCCTCCAGGGTTTGACCCCATCGCCGTCCAGCCAGAGTCTCGTCCCGCCGAGACCGCCCAGCCAGTCTCGTCCTGCTGAGACCACCCAGCCAGAGTCTCGTCCCACCGAGACCACCTAGCCAGAGTCTCGTCCCGCCAAGACCACCTAGCCAGAGTCTCGTCCCGCCAAGACCGCCCAGCCATAGTCTCGTCCCGCCGAGGCAGCCCACCCCAAGTCTCATCCCGCTGAGACCATCCAACCAGAGTCTCGTCCCGCCGAGACCGCCCAGTCTGAGAGTATTCACGCCCCGTCTGTTCAACCTGAGACTGTGCACGTCACAACTGTCCCTAATCTGGGGATTCACCCCAAGGGCCAGGGCCTATGTCTTCGTCCCGGCCGCCTGAAGGGCCTTTACCGCCACGGCCGCCTGAGAGGTCTTCAGCACCACCAGTATCCTTCTTGTCATTATCATTATCATCTATGTCACCTGACCTGATGAGTGGTCTGAATTGAAGAGAAGAAGCATGGATCAACATGGATCTGGGAATCTGCAGGATCTTGAGAGATTCTGTATGGAGGAATGGTCTCTGATCTCTTGTCAGATGTTCTCTAAACTCATCAGGCATTATAGGAAAAGACTCAGAGCTGGTATCTTGGCAAAAGGAGATTGTAAAAAGTATTTAATAAAAGGGTGCCAATAATTGTGGCCAATGTGTTTTGGAGAAAAACATTTATTTCATAATGTGATTTCCACCCCACTTTCAATTATTTTACTTCAATGAAAGGTTAGATTTTGCCAATTTTTTTAATGAAAGATCAAAAGGATAAACAATGGAGATTTATTTTTTACAGCCAGTTTTGATCATATTTACCAGGGGTGCCATCAATTTTGACCATGACTGTATAAAGTATCATCTTATTAAATGGTCTGTACACTTACAAAGTTCTCAATGCTTCGTTTTGCATTTAGGGACCCTCATTATGTTACTGTGTTAGTGTGAGCTATTTTGAGCCTTGTTAGTGGTATTAACTAGCGATAACTTTTTACTTATTATATGCCCCCATTTACTGGTGTTATATACTAAACAGTTTTTAGAGATAAAAGTCTTTACATCTGATTATCATGAAAACAAATGGTTGAGTAGGTACTAATGTTTTATTAGACCAAAGGTTGATTTTGCGCCAGAGTACTCCTTAAAAGGAGAAACTTTTTGGGTATAAAATAAAGAAATTAACAACATATTCAAGAGATGACGATTTGGGGGTTTATTAATAAAAATGTTATTGTTATAGTCCAAGGATAAAACTGTGGGTCACATAAAATATACCTTAAATCAACCCCAACTGTATTCACAAAATAAATGGGCAGCTGTTTCCTCAACAATACTACCACAAAAGGAGCAAGATGTAGGTCAGATAATAGCGTCAACCTGGCAGTTGTCCGGATCGCATTCATACTCAACAAGATTTGGCTATAAAGTACCTACTCTTTTCGCGCTCGTTAAGTAAGTACTTATTTAAATTAATTACCTACTCATTGAGTATGCGGTTTTCAATGCAGCTATGAATTACACTACACTCAGCTTGTATTGTCCAAACTTCATTGTCACCTGGTCTGTTGAGGGGTGATTCATGTATGCCATTGTGCTGCAGCCTGTATTGCTCACAGCAGCGTGTCGTGTAGTATGTATTAACAGAAACAAGTCCCGTACTTATTAACTTAATAACATTTGTCATATCCATACTGTGCCAAACAATGTGAGAGATGTAATGATGGATATAGAAGCACAGCTTTGACAAATTTTCTGTTTAATGATTCTGTTTGTGTTTAGGTTTTTCACCTTTCTTTCCTTTTTCCTAATTCTTCCTCTGTTAGTCTTCCAAAATTATGGCATGAGTTTGGCCATCATTGCATCTTATTTTGACTTCAAAATTCAATACTGTTTTACATTTGGTCATCTTATGTTCTGCTCTCTAGTGGTTAAATAACTACTTGGTTTCCTAACCTAGAATATGCCATCACACATAAAAATCATGCGGTAACAAGCATACATACACAATGTGGTATACAGCCAATTTATATTATTTATTAAAATAGTTAAAATAGTCACCTGATAATGAGGGTATTGATGAAGATGTTGGAGAGGTTGTTGACTCTAAGGAAGATGATGGTGCTGAGGTTTGTAAAGATAGAGTAACTGGCAATGAAGAAGATGAGGATGTAGTATCTGGCAATGAAGATGATGAGGAGGAAGTATCTGGCCATGAAGATGGTGAGAATGAAGTATCTGGCAATGAAGATGATGAGGTATTTGGCAATGAAGATGATGAGGATGACAAAGTTGGCGAGTGTGGTGCCGTCCATATTGATGATGGTAATGTTGCTAAAGATGGTGATGAAGGCTGTGAATGTGCTGATGATGGTAAGAAAGAGGAAGATGATTTTTAACACTTTTTAAAAATCATAAAGACAGTTTCTGTGACATTAAAGGGTTAGTTCACCCAAAATTTAAAATGAAGTCATTAATTACTCACCCCCATGCTGTACCAACCCCGTAAGACCTTCGTTCATCTTCAGAACACAAATGAAGATATTTTTGATTGAATTTGAGAGGTGGATTACTGCTACATAGGCTCCTAAGGGAATGAAACTTGGCGGCCCAGAAAGTCATTGAAGAAAATGCTTAAATATTCCATGTGCCTACAGTGGCTCAACTATAAGTTTATCAAGCGACGAGAATACTTTTCGTGTGAGAAAAACAAACAAAAATAACGACTTTATTCGACTATTCCTTTTCTTCCTTGTAGGCCTGAGACGAGAGTTCAAGAGATTTCCACGACGCATGTTGTCGCGCATGCGTCGTGGAAATCTATTGAACTCTCGTCTCGTTCTCGAATGTTCTCATCGCTTGATAAACGTATAGTTGCGCCACTGTAGTCACATGGAATATTTAAACATTTTCTTCATTGACTTTCTGGGCCGTCAAGTTTCGATCCCTTAGGAGCCTATGTAGCAGTGATCCACCTCCCAAATTTAATCAAAAATATCTTCATTTGTTTTCCGAAGACGAAAAAAGTCTTACGGGGTTTTCATTTTTGGGTGAACTAACCCTTTAAAGTGTTGTGATTTTTTTAGCACTTTTTAAATTTATTAAGATTTCTCAGATAAATGTTTGTTTTGAGAGTATTGAATATTACATTGTATGCATGTCAGGACAACAGTCACCAATTTATGATGCAAATTTCATTAAAAAATAAATATAAAATATCAGAATCAGCGACTCTGCTTTTCGACGAGTTTGGAAGTTTTTAATGTAAGACACATAATAATACGCATCTTATGGTTGTAAATAGCCTACTTTACATTGTAGCTACTAGGGGTTGAACGACTTCAGATTTTTTGAAGTCGACTGTTATGACATCAAAGTCGAGTCGACGTCGACTAGTCGCTGACGTCATTCAGAAAAACTTTATAATTATGTCTTCCATAATTATGGCAAGAGTTTGGCCATCATTGCATCTTATTTTGACTTCAAAATGCACACACCAATGCCGTTGTACATTTTGTCATGTCTTAATATGTTCTGCCCTCTAGTGGTTAAATTACTACTGTTGGTTTCCTAACCTAGAATATGCCATCACACATAAAAATCATGCAGTAACAAGCATACATACACAATGTGGTATACAGCCAATTTATATTATTTATTAAAATAGTTAAAATAGTCACCTGATAATAATGAGGGTATTGATGATGAAGATGTTGGACAGGTTGTTGACTGTGAAGATGATGATGGTGCTGAGGTTTGTGAAGATAGAGTAACTAGCAATGAAGATGATGAGGGTGAAGTATCTGGCAATGATGAGTGTGAAGTATCTGGCAATGAGGATGATGAGGATGAAGTATCTGGCAATGAGGATGATGAGGATGAAGTATCTGGCAATGAAGATGATGAGGGTGAAGTATTTGGCAATGACGATGATGAGGGTGAAGTATCTGGCAATGAAGATGATGAGGGTGAAGTATCTGGCAATGAAGATGATGTGGGTGAAGTATCTGGCAATGAAGATGATGTGGGTGAAGTATCTGGCAATGAAGATGATGAGGGTGAAGTATTTGGCAATGAAGATGATGAGGGTGAAGTATCTGGCAATGATGAGTGTGAAGTATCTGGCAATGAAGATGATGTGGGTGAAGTATCTGGCAATGAGGATGATGAGGATGAAGTATCTGGCAATGAAGATGATGAAGTATCTGGCAATGAAGATGATGAGGTTGAAGTATCTGGCAATGATGATGATGAGGGTGAAGTATTTGGCAATGAAGATGATGAGTGTGAAGTATCTGGCAATGAAGATGATGAGGGTGAAGTATCTGGCAATGAAGATGATGAGGGTGGAGTATCTGGCAATGAAGATGATGAGGGTGAAGTATTTTGCAATGAAGATGATGAGGGTGAAGTATTTGGCAATGAAGATGATGAGGGTGAAGTATCTGGCAATGAAGATGATGAGGGTGAAGTATTTGGCAATGAAGATGATGAGTGTGAAGTATCTGGCAATGAAGATGATGAGGGTGAAGTATCTGGCAATGATGAGTGTGAAGTATCTGGCAATGAAGATGATGAGTGTGAAGTATCTGGCAATGAAGATGATGAGGGTGAAGTATCTGGCAATGAAGATGATGAGGGTGAAGTATCTGGCAATGAAGATGATGAGGGTGAAGTATCTGGCAATGAAGATGATGAGGGTGAAGTATCTGACAATGAAGATGATGAGGGTGGAGTATCTGGCAATGAAGATGATGAGGGTGAAGTATCTGGCAATGAAGATGATGAGGGTGGAGTATCTGGCAATGAAGATGATGAGGGTGAAGTATCTGGCAATGAAGATGATGAGGGTGAAGTATCTGACAATGAAGATGATGAGGATGAAGTATCTGGCAATGAAGATGATGTGGGTGAAGTATCTGGCAATGAAGATGATGAGGATGAAGTATCTGGCAATGAAGATGATGAGGTTGACAAAGTTGGTGAGTCCTGTGTCGTTGTTGCTGCATTTGCTGCTGATGATAAGAATTAGGAATATCATATACAATTAGATTTTGTGGCATTAGAGTGGTGTGATTTTTAACACTTTAAAAAATGTATTAAGACTTCTTGGATGGATGTTTTGTGTTGTGATTATTAAAGGGTTCGTTCACCCAAAAATGAAAATTAAGTCATTAATTACTCACCCCCATGCTGTACCAACCTCGTAAGACCTTCGTTCATCTTCGGAACACAAATTAAATGATATTTTTGATTAAATTTGAGAGGTGAATCACTCCTCCATAGGCTGCCTAAGGGATTGAAACTTGTCGGCCCAGAAAGTCATCGAAGAAGATATTTAAAGAGCACCTATCATGGGTTTTTGAAAATGACTGTTCTTGTAGTGTGGAATATAGCTCTAAGGGAATGAAAACATCCTGCAAAGATTTATATCTGAAAGTGCACCGTATATAAAGTTATTGTCTTTCAAAAGTGAGAGTCGACTCTGAGTCTATGAAATGAATTGTTTTTTAAACGAGTCATTAGCTGTTTCGTTGTGAAGAATAAAACTTCACTACAAAACGATACCACAACAGTATAGCCCGAACCTTGACGAATCATTCAAAAACATAAATGAATTCAAATGTGGATTCGCAAGCCGGTTGTTCCCGAAGGAGGGCTCAGTATCCAGTGTATGGATCAGGTTCGTCCTCCTCCGAATCACAATCTGTAAGTATTATTAATAATGTTTGCTGTTATGTTTTCTGTAGCATGCACAATATAGTTATATTCTGTTGTGTGTGTTGTGTACACTCCGCGCAGCTTCTAAGCGGGGTAAAGTTAGTTTTGTTTTTGATATTCCCCAGACATTCACTGAAAAATGGCAATTACCTCCTAAACGACTTAGCCAAATATGACTTCTATATAATAAGCACTGCCCCTCAAAAGCCCCTGCAATGCGTGTTTCGCCGGGAAAGCTCGCTCTTGACGGACACGCAAGTAAGGGACCATGTGGAAAGTGCACTTTTTCTGACACGTTTGTTCATACACTATATACAACACTTGACAAGCTATAATCCATTAATGGTGATGGTACACAATTCCGACAATCTCTGCCTACGGTTTACCAATAACAACTGACTGGGTCATTTGACCAATCGCCTCAGATTCGCGTCATTCAAAGGAGGTGTTTGGGAAAATTAATTGTTGAACAAATCATTTGGGAGTCGTTGAGCAAATCAGGTAAAAAATAAATTTGTATTATAAGACAAATAAAGTGTTCTTTATCCTTGCATGCACGTTAAACTGTTTTTGGGAACTCCTAAAACAAAAATAGGAACATTTCAAATGCTATGATAGGGCCTCTATAAATATTCCATGTGACTACAGTCGCTCAAGTATAAGTGTATCAAGCGACAATAATACTTTTTGTGCAGGAACACCCCCCCCCCCCCCCCCCCAAAAAAAAAAAAAATAACGACTTTGTTCGACTATTCCCTTTCTTCCTAGTTGGCCTGAGACGAAAGTTCAAGAGATTTCCACGACGCATGCGCAAGAAGAACTGCGATCTCCTTCTACTCCTTCTAGTTCAGTCATGGAAATCTCTTGAACTCTCGTCTCAGGCCTACAAGGAAGAAAAGGTATAGTTGAATATAGTTGTATAGTTGTCGTTTTTTAAAGTCGAAAAATGTATTCTCGTCGCTTGATAAACTTGACAAAGCCACTGTAGACACATGGAATATTTAAACATTTTCTTTATTGACTTTCTGTGCCATCAATTTTCAATCCCTTAGGCCAGTGTTTCCCAACCCTGTTCCTGGCGGCACACCAACACTGCGCGTATTCTTTGTCTCCCTTATCAAACACACCTGATTCAACTCTTCAGCTCTTAATCAGATGGGTTAATGAGCTGATGAGTTGAATCAGGTGTGTTTGATTAGGGAGGCAAAGTATACGCGCAGTGTTGGTGTGCCGCCAGGAACAGGGTTGGGAAACACTGCCTTAGGCAGCCTATGTAGCAGTGATCCACCTCTCAAATTTAATCAAAAATATCTTCATTAGTGTACCGAAGATGAACAGGGATGAACAAGGTCTTACAGGGTTGGTACAGCATGGGGCTGAGTAATTATTGACTTAATTTTCATTTTGGGGTGAACTATCCCTTTAAGCCTTACATTGAATGCACGTCTGCTGGTGGTCAGGACAGCAGTCATTGAATGAGAGGCAAGCCTCATCACAGTAACACCCACGGCTACATCTGTTATGCACTCCAGCACAGCAGAGCACTGGGGGTCCTGAACACTGAGCTGAAAGACATAAGACCCAAAGAGTGTGCAGATCTTAAAATTATCAGGACATGGCAACATCAATAACAGCAATACTTGGTGATCCAAATAAACACCATGTATAAAAAAACAAACATATTTTGACAGATTTTAAGTCAACTTCATAGCTGTGGCAAAATGTATTCCCTTACAATGATAATTGTTTTGTCCCATTTAGTATTTCCCCCTAATCATTCTCCTTGTATCTAAGATGACATCTTAGATACAACTTAGATATGTTTGTTTTGTATCAACAGCATTACGTTGACTATTAGGGACAAGAAAATTGACTGTCAAATTCGAATGATGTTTTAATAATTTACAGTATGAGTGAGTTTAATTTGTTGATTGATCGATCGTTAATCTAGTAAATGATTTAATCCACTGAACACTGCTGTGGTAATATAAAAACACTCTCCCAACAGCATACGGTTTCTTTTTAGCCTTAAAAACAATTTATTCCAAGTCAAATTTAAATTATATAGCTGTATCACTTGTGATGGTATTTTGTATAGATATGGCCAGACGTGCAGTCAACCAATAACATTAGAGCAACACTACGAACGCCCACAAGCGACTTCACAGTACAGACTTCCGGGTCACTCGCTCCCGTGTTGTTTTGCTGCTCCGCTACAGGTAAAGTAGCTTCTCTGTTGTCTCTGCACTTATTCCACTATTATCAGCTGCCGTTGTGTTTATTATGTATTATGTATTGGCAGGCTAGTCCTACACCCTGTCATTCAACGCATCTAAGTTATGATGTTACAGAGAGCTAACTGTACTGTTTGAACCCTTTGAACTGCTTCTTCCAGGGTTGACACAAAACGCTGCTTAATCGGTATGTAGGCTACATGGTGAAGGATTTATTTGTTTTATTTTTGGAGTCATCTGTTTTATATATATATATATATATATATATATATATATATATATATAGGAACAGGAACTGGGCTGGTTCAACTGGAGATTTCCTTCAGTTCAATTTCCTGTTCTTTTCATTGAAATATTATATTGATTCTTTTTTTTTTTTTTTTTTTTTGAATGAATCCCCTTTTGATCGTGTGTGTTTGTGTTCCAGTTGCTGAGAGCCGAAGGAGGTGGTGTTGGTGTCCCTTTTACAAATTGAACTCCGTCTCTGGCTGAATTGTATACAGCCTGTGTTTCCTTAAGGGTATTAGTGGTATTGCAATTAGGAAGTAAAGAAAATCATTCTCTGGGTGAAAGTCCCAGGGTGGCATAGTCAGTGTATTTGGGAGCAGGTTCCACTTAGACTATAACCTCCTCTGTATTGTCTGCTCTCTGCATCGCCACATTAACAAAAGACTAACGATACCAATTGATTGGAACTGGACATCGCAGAACACTGGATCTGGCAAGTGAAAGCTGAGATAGGGTGGGCTGCTGTTAGATCTGTTTGTGAACCGCGAAATGCGAGGCACCGGCGTGTCTCGGCAACAGCGGGACCCGCGGGGGAATGCAAACCGAAGCGTTCTCCTCGAAGAACGCCCGGCGGGAACAGAGCGCCCTCATGGATAGCTTCTTGCAATGCCCACAGTCAGCCCCCTCGAGAACCTACTGTTGACATGCTCCACTCCCAAACAGCAACAGAAAGCTGATGTGTGTGTCCCCAGTAGGCAGGGAACAACACAAAGCTTGCTTAGTCTCTTTTGCCATAATATTCTGTATATATATTGCAACTTGTCAGACAACAATAAATATGAAAAGGACAGAAAACACAGATCGCTTGCTGAAGGCACATAAGCTGTGTTCTGTTTTCAAGGGGTGCTTTATAGCTTCCTGGTCGATGACGTCACCTCCTTATGACATTTTTTTTCCATTGGACTGATTATACACTTGCTTCACGACGCAATCACACAGGGCGTTCCCACTCGTCTCGATGCAGCGCGAGTTCCCTTGAAAGGGCACATACCTTTCGACTATGCTGCCATTCCGGACTAAAGAACAATAGGATACAGTTTAACATTCTTATTTCTAAATCTAAAGTAATTTTTGCTTATTAGTATGGTTTAATTAGTTAATAGAAGATCAGCAGCAAGGATATTGGTTAATAAAGTGAAGTGAAGTGTAATTTGCTTTTGCATTTAACTTTTTTTTATTAATTTAGAGGAATACTGAATGCCCCCCACCCCCCACGTGTAGTTTGTCACAGAACATGTTTACACACAAGTTACTTAAAGAGTGTTGTCTGTCTTACCTGAAGCCATGTTCCTGTTTCTTTGGTTCAGGACCAGTAAGAAAACCCAGATGTGGACAACTAAAACCTTCATCCTGGTCTATGTGTCTAACTCAACTCACTTTATTGTCACTTCACCGTGTATAGAAGTATGAGATGGCGTGTGTTTGTGGGAGAGAGAGAATTGTCATAAAGGTGGAGACTGCATAGAGCTACCCACATCCCTCTCACTATGCATGATTTGATGTGTATGTCAAAGTGGCATTTGTCATAATGCTTAGAAGTCTGAAATTATGACAGGAATGCTGTGGGGATTTTATCATTCAAGTAATGCCAAATATTTCTCAGAGTAATTTACAGAGTTTCTAGATAAAATAAATAAGAGGACCTTAACAAGGTCATGCTAGAAATGAATGTATTAGAAGTGACACTAGATAATTCTTGTATTGGTCCAGAATGCTTTTTCTATTATTGGAAGCATGGAAAAAAAACTAAGCAGGAATGTGCCTCTACAGGAAGGAGTAACCTACTTAAACTTATAGACGAACCCGTTTGCACACGTCACTCAAACACAGAACAAAACATATCAACTTATCGTTTTAGGGTAAGTGAAACTTACAGATGTGGTCATAGGCTTTTGGTCATCATGTTCATATAATCATGTTATCACATCATGAATCTATCTTATCGCAAAGACAAACTTATCACTTATCCTGAATCCCTATTGTACACCTATGATATGTGTTTATCTTGACTCGTCATATACATAAACAGTTCATTGTCTCCAAATGTCCAGAAATGGATAAATATTAAGTCTGCTGTTTAAAACAAATAAAGAATCAATGTAGGAGAATAGTTATTATGTGCAAACAGCAGGAAACTGTATATTCATGCAGTGTGCCGTCAAAAAATCAATAACGATTTGAAACTTGTGACATTTAAACGCGCACATCAACCCGATCACATCACATTAGCGTTCATGTAAGCACTATATTCAGATTCATCAATCGTAATGAGGGTGTAATCAACACTCAAAATGTCCCCCAGCAACATGTGTTTTTGTCGTTGCTGATTTTTTTTCTTTTCTTTTTTCTCCAGCAGCTCTAAGTAATTTTCTTATTCTTTATCCTGACTGAAGCAATTTTTTCAATCTATAAGAATAATTTAATCAGTCTATGTTATCCTATAGTTTAAAGTTAAAGGTGCAGTGTGTGATTTTTAGCGACATCTAGTCGTACGGTTGCGAATTACACTAATGGCTCAGCCCACTGCTAGCCCCTCCCTTTCAAAGAAGCTACGGTGGCTAAAAACGGGACAAATATATCGTCGTCTGAGGCAGCAGAGAATAGCCAGTGTAAGCCAAGTTTCTGTACCACAGTCCATTATAAACCACATCATGGAAAAAGTTTACAAAACCATAACGTAGACTCACTGCATTCCGGATACTTGACCTTTTCCTGCAAATTCTATAAATAAACACTTCCAGTTTAAGTCATCTATATACATACATGTCTGTGTCATCTTTGCCTCATCCTCTTTCAATTCCGACCAACCTTGTGTTTCCAGAGCCAGTCGTCTCAAAGAAATCAACGTGAGTTTCTAACGCACACCAATGACTGTCCCGAAAATTGCGGGGGGAAAGTTTTCTGGAAAAAAGGAAGAGGGGAGAAGCATGCCACAGCAGAAAACGGTTCTTACACATGTTCACCCATCAAAAAAATGTCAAAATAAAAAAAATATTCTTACAGAGTTAAAATTTGCAAATATTTGTACTTTTTTAAAGGGATAAATGTTCAATGAGGCACTTTGTCCGACATGAAATTTGAGGCTGCGCCGCATCACTGCACCCTCATTAAAACACCTTGTTAAAATAACGTGAATGGTAAATGCTGTTTTAAAGGTCATTTCAACACATCTGTATCATTTCACAACAAATGCATTTGTTAAATGCAATTTAACAACATTTCAAGCCATTAAGTTATAATCATAATTTCTATGACATTAAGTTGAGGACCCAATAAAAAATAATCTAGATTTTAATAACATTAAAAATAACATGAACATCGACAAAAAACTATATACATTTAACATTCAAGGGATAGTTCACTTTTAAATATATTTTAGTATGTTTTAGCTTACTTCAAGGGCATCCAAGATGTAGGTGTCTTTGTTTCCACAGTATTTTCAATTTTGATATTTTTAGGTCAAACCGTTTGTGTCTGTCAGTCATATTATGCAGGTATATGGTCATCACCTCAAAGAGCATGCACAGAAAAGTGCAAATTAAACATGATTTAATGACTCGTAAATGTAAGTACACATTGATGGCCTAAGACATGAACTGAGTGGTTTGTGTAAGAAAACGAACAGTATTTATATCGTTTTTACCTCTTGTAACCACAGGCACGTCCAAGTGATCTGAGGCCGTGGGCACTTCGGTCTGCGCAAGCGCCTGAAGTGATCTAATTATGTGATGCGATCTGGGAAAACCCACCACATAGTGAAGTTTGACATATTACAGGTTTTGAGACCTTATTAAAGCTGGGTTCAAGCCCTTTCCAAATCCAGAAAATCCAGATTTTCAGAAATTGAATTTTGAGAAAAACAGGTTTAATTAACGGTCACATCCTGCTAGCGGGACGACTGGCACTCCCTTTTTATTGACTTTTTTTCATATCACATATTTTAGTAATCATCATAGATTAGGTATCATTCGAAAGCTGACGAACTCAAAATTCAACCTGTGAGGACGATTGAAAGGTGAGCAAGGTCTTTTAAACGAGCAGTTTCAAACTCTGTTGTTCTCTTGTGCTCGGCATCACACCCTGGATAAAAATAAATAAATAAAAACTTGTGGGCTGTTGTAGTTCACCCAGGACTGGACTTTATTCTGTTATGTGGTTTATTTTGATAGGTGAACTGTCTTTGTAGTGTTAAAAGAAGGAGAGCGGTCTTTTAATTGGTTAGGTAAGCCTCCCTAAACTTATGAGAACTCTGACAGAGTTTGGTCAGCTGTCTGGTTATAACCTAAACATTAACAAAACACAAGTCCTGACCATTAACTACTCCCCCAGTAAATCCATACAGTACAATTATAAACTTAATTGGGAAGCTAAAAAGTTGAAGTATTTAGGTGTGTTTATTTCTCAAGATGTAGATGATTTGTTCAGTTTGAATTTTGAGAAAGTTATTGACTCAAAAAAACAAAAAGACATGAAGCGCTGGACAATGCATCATATATACATCATACATTCACACACACACAACACTATAAATTCTACATGTACATATCAATATTTATAAATTTGTTTTTGTTAAAATTAGGTTATGTGTTAATGGATTAATTTAATGTTATTTCTGTTCATTCTGTTTTTGTTTAATTAAATGTGTTCAATAATTCTGTAAATAGGCAGAATTGTTTATTTATGGTAAATTAATCCTTATAAACACAGTGAGTCCTCATGGTAATCCGGACACTGCATCACCGTGCAGTTTTTCCAAGATTTCTCCTAAATGATGTGTCCAAAATGTGTCAATCAAACTTTGGAACGTGTGGAAGGCACGTCCCCAGAGACAGACGAGCCAATCAGGTTTATCTTTCTGCAAAATGATATCTTACGGGACTTTTCCTCTGAACATATGTAACTACCGCCCAATCAGTATTCTACCTGTGGTCTCCAAGGTTGCTGAAAAATTTGTATCAGAGCAGCTTGTCTCTTTTTTTAACAATAGTCCATTCCCTCTTCACCCGATGCAGTTTGGTTTTAGGGCCCATCACTCTAAAGAAACAGCTTACTGTCTCTTTTTAGAGACTGTTCGAGCAATGGTTGACAAGGGAGGTGTTGTTGGTGCTGTGTTTTTAGATCTCCGTAAAGTCTTTGACACAGTCAACCATAAGGTCCTTATTGCGAGACTTTCTAATTTTAATTTATCCTCTTCTGCAATTAAATGGATTGAATCATACAGTATTTAACAGGTAGAAGTCAGTGTGTTTCTGTGAACAATCATCGTTCATCAGTTCTCAACTTACACACAGGAGTACCACAAGGATCGATCCTTGGCCCGCTTTTATTTAGTGTATATATCAATGATCTGCCATCAGTTTGTCCGGATGTCAATACACTAATGGACACGGACGACACTGTAATTTACGTACATGCCATGACAAAACATCTGGCTGCTGCTAAACTTACTACAGCTATGGATCAAATCACCAATTGGCTAAATCGTTCGTGCCTTCAACTAAACATAGATAAAACTATAGGAATGGTTTTAACTAAGAGACAATGTAATACTGTTTCAAATATAATGATTGTGCCCCAAGTTAAGTATTTGGGCATTATTATTGATTCTAATCTTTCTTTTAAAACACATATTAGAAATGCACTAACTTTTCATGCTGCCAAATTATTTATGGATACCATGATTGTGTCACATCTAACAAACTGTCTGACAAGTTGGGGTCAAATTAATAGTTCATCTTTAAAACCATTAGCAAGTCTTTATAAAAATTAAAAAAAAACTCTCAAAGTTTTGGACCAGAAGCCTAATAGTTCCCCCATCATTGCATAATTCTTAAAAATCATAAACTCCTAAGTTGGGAAGATGTAATTAAATACAAAAACATCTGTTTGGTCCATAAAATTATGCATAATACCGCTCCGGCTCCTCTCAATTCATTTATAATCCGCCATAACAACGCCATAACAACAGTCAGATTACCAGAAGCACCACACTAGGTGATCTTATTATCCCATTTAGGAAAAGCATTTGGTCAATTGTCATTTTCTGTTAAATCGATACAAAATTGGAATTCGCTGCCCACTACAATCAAAGATATACATATGTATTCCAATTTTATTATACATCTTAAAAACTGTCTGTCTGACAATTACAGCTGCATACACTAATTTGACAGGTGTGTTGTGTATTTGATGTGACATGATCATGTTGTTGCCACTTGGTTTCTGCTGCCTGCCTTAATGTGGCCTCTGTATGATTATTGTTTGTGTCGTGTTGTATTGTCTTACT